CACAAAAGATTCAAGCACATCAAAGAGATTCAGCATGCTGTGTCTGATTTTCATGCGTTCATCTTTTAAGTATTTTTTTTTTCCCTTAAATTTAAGAAGAATTATATTACTATTTGAAAAAATAATGAAATACTGAAAGCTAGTTACTGGAATGTTTGTCTCAGACTTCCAAGTCTGAAGAGAAATGTATGTTTTTCGAAATGTGTGGCAGGGCTTCTGAGAAATGTCAAAACACTACAGGTACACTTAAGTCACTAGAATAAAGGTTCAACGTTAGAAGTATGTTTTATCTGTAAGTACATCTTTGTAATTATTATGCACATAATTACAGTTTGGGTTCTTTCTTAATAGCTATACCAATTTCTAATGTCACTTCATTTTTGGATAGTCTGTCTTGCTATCTGCGAATGTGAGAAGCTGAGGTAGGTAATTTTTATATTCTATTCAAAAACAATTGTTAATATTCTATTCTAAATGAGTGTCTTGTTGAGTTGGCGACCTTAATGTGTCCTTTTCATAGATGTGGCAAGCACATTTCTGGGGGAGATTTTAGCGTAATCTTTGAAACGTTAAAACAATGTATGCATGTGCACAGGGTTACTACAAGGATGAGTGGTGACTGATCTGTTGTCTGGTACCCACTTCTTGTTTCATTACTGAGAGCGAAATCTTTTCCATTAGAAACTTAAAATGGAAACTAGCTACACAATGTAAAATTGGGATGATAACACCAAATGATATGTAGGTGCTGAAAGCTGCTTTTATAAATCATTAGAAGAAAAGTGCTGTTTTACTTTCCTTACATCTGATTTGGTATCTTTGCAGTGGATGTCCAACTACTGCCTATGACCACTCCATGGTATGTGGTCATTAGCAACAAAAATATTTCTTTTCAGGTAAAAAAAAAGTGATTGAGAGGACAGAGTTCCCAAGGATCCGGGCTACGTGTGTTTGTCTGTGTGCATATGAATGCACGTAGAGTTGATCACAGGACTATGGGGTGAGATTAGGGGTTGATGACTGCAAAACCACACACCTATGTGGTGTTCTGTAATAACTTCTGAGTTGTACGCATTCAGGTAAGCCCCAAGAGGGCCGTGTTCTTAAATGGAGCTCAGTAATATGCAACAAGGATTCAGATTCTGTTGGTTTCCATTTTTTATTCTTTCTTTTCAAAATAACTTTTTTTTTCCCTTCAGTACTATTCTAACATCTTCCACCAGGAGTGGGGTTCCTGGCTCCCATGACTGTTGGTGAAGCATCTTACTGCTCTTGACCATGACTGGGAAGCAGAACTTGAGCAAGTTGAAGGCTATCTGTCCTAAGCTTAGGCAAAAGTAACTGATTTTCAAGAGCAGCTTGCCCAAACATGTCCATGCTGGCTGGACAAAGTGGTCAGGAGGATGCCACGTGTGGTTCACACCCAGCACCAGGCTTTTTCAGGTGAATGGAGATTACAAAGTCAGGACTGACAGGCTGTCCTTGTCTAAGTTTGAGGCCAACGTTCAGCATTGTAGAGACGTCTCCCCCATATTCCTCATGCCATTCTAAGGCCATGCTGGTGAAACTGTTGGCTACAGACTTTGTGAAGGAAGGCCATCCTGTCACAGCGGAGCCACTGTCGACATCCCCTCTTGTTACTGTGTTTCCAAAGGTGGTAGCAGGATCTTCAAGCAGCAGCTCTTGCTCAACACCAAACTGCAGAGGGCTTGAAACGAAGTGGCAGCTGGGTGTCTGGAAAGCCAGCCTTCTGCTCCTGAGTGGGGTTGAAGTTAGTATACGTTTAATTAACTGTTGCACAGCACCAGGTTGCTTTCCCTACGCCACCTGTATGTCATTTCTTTGTGTTCCTGTCCATTGCCATCCTGAGCAACCTTTCTGGAGTCCCTGGCTTCCTCTGAACCTTGCACCGTCCTTCCTGGGGAACGGCTGGTTGGGTGTTCCAGATGAGGCTGTGCCATCAGTTAAACTTCAAAAGGGATTCTGTGTAATTTGCTCCATATTTAGCTTGCAATTGCATACTCTTCCTGCTTTGAAGTAATGTCCATGCTCTGAACTAAATAACCACTAGAGCCAAATGGTCTAACGTGTGTTAGTCCAAAACACCCCTGCTGCAAATGTAGGATTGTGCACAGTCCCAATGCACAGATGGGTGTAATTGGACATGTGGCTGCTACACGGCAGCACTGAGAGGTTCAATACCATGTATTCCCAATGCAAGTGAGCTATTCACGTGGAAGTATTTACGGCAGTGTGCTTATGGTAACAGCTAGCCAGATGCATGGAGACGATCACAAAGTATTCATAGAACTGTGTTGTATCAGGAAAAAAAGCCTTAGGTGTTTGCTTTTGTATATACGTATAAACTTAATCACAATTGAATATTGACTACTGAGAATGCGTTTCTTAAAATGTGCCCTAGATTTCAGTTACAATCTGAGTGCATCTCACTTGCTGTGGAAAGAAGTAACACTTAGATATTAAATTCAATTGTTAAATTATGACACACAATTAATTATGGCTCAAAAATAGTCTTTAGAATATGTACAGTAAATCAAAAGCTGAATATTTACCTATGAAGCACTTTTATTTTAAACACTTTTTCTGCTTTCTCCCTGTCCTTTGAAACATTGCTGTGTTTTTCAAGCCTCGTTCTTCTGCAGTTGTGCTATAGACAGCCAGATAGAACATGCACGTTGGGTCTGGCAAGTGGTGAATACATGTCTTAATGTAGGGTAGAGCTGTTATTGCTCTTTTAAAAAAGAGTTGGCATGATTTTCTAGTGTAATAAAATTCCATAGAATGTTAACTGGCAAGACGGTGAAAACTGGAAAATGGCCTTCATTTGTGAATAACCATTCCTGTGCTGGAAGAAGAAAAGTGTCTGCACCCCTCTCAAAGAGCTGGTAGCTGAGAGGTAGACTGCCTGCCACAGTCCTGAGCAACCTCAAGGAGCTTCCAGCAAGGTAGGAAGAAGTGCAGAGTAATGTTCTCTGCCTGATTTTCTAAACTGACCTGGAAGCCAGTGAAAAAAAAAAAAAATCAATAAATGAAAATACTATTTCTCATAAGGGTTAGGTATATTAAACCATCAATTTCTAATCACCCATTTCTAATCAGTTGTGTACAAAAAGAGGGGGGATGTCTGCCATGCAGATGAAGATTTCCTTCAACACAATTTAGATCTTTCAATGTAATATGGGAAATCTCCACCAGCCATTTATTTGAGCCTTCTCTTTTGAGTTAATCTTTGGTATTTATCCTGGGAGTGTTTTCTTAGCCAAAATGATGCAGAGATGTAAACAACAGAGGTTTGCAGGGAGAGGGCCATGATTTTTTTTTTTTTTTTTTTTTCAGATCTGCTTTGGTTAATCACATACGCTTCTAGCATCCATACTTTTAAAAAGCATTTACCCTTATATTGGTTGCATTTTTAAAACAATTCTAAAATTTGTTCTTAAAATTAGTGAAAGGTTAGATTAAGATAGGGTTGTCATACTGAAAAAAGAGCTTTATTTGTTAAGCTGCTTCCATCATTTCTCACCCCATCCCCTTAACCTACAGACCAGAAAAAAGCTCCCGCAGTCACTACCTTGAAGCAACCGTGCCTGGGCTGGTGTTGCCCTGGTAAACTTTCCCTGTGTGCCATCTAGGGATTTACAACTTATATATATATATATATATATATGTTGTATGTATTATTGTAACATCATATTATAGTAGCAAAATTCCTCCCTCTAAAGAACAATTTTTCATTTTCTTTACCCACCCCACCCTTGGTCCTTTTGATACCCTGCAGCAGAGTTTCGTAAGCTAATTGTGTGCTGTTTGAACAAGTATGTGAGGACTTAATGGATACTTTGAGGTAATATTTTGTTTTTCCTCGACTCTATGACTACAGTGTAAGCAGGTCAGCACAAAACTTTATGGCTGGTGGCTGCTCAAAGCTGCTACGTCTTTCCAGACGCAGTGTTGTGCCCTGTTGGGTCTCCCTCACCTCTAGCTTGTAGAGGTCACCTCCTGCTGTGGGACAGTGACTTTACTTCTTAGTAAGTGCTTCCTTGAATGAGACAGCCAAATGGGACCTCCAGCCAAACCAGGCGGGGAGCACTGACCTTCCCCATGGGAACGCTCCTGGGAGTGAGACCAGAGGTGTCAAAGCCTGACCTAGCGCTGCTGTGCAAAACGGATTGAGTATCAGGAAAAGGAACTTATTTTTATCGCCTCCCAGAGCATAGTGAGCAGCAGCTTTCGCAGCAGCTTTCGCAGCACCAGTTGCTGTGGTTCCAGCTCCATGACAACCCTACAGCTCCCACACAGCCATGCCTTGGGCACCGTGGCCCCGTGCTCTCTGCTGGCCAGCCCTGTGCTGTGCCCACTGCCCCAGTTCTGTGCCATTTTGGTTGTCAGGCATTGCCAGCTTTTTTCCACTTAGGAAAACGGTGCAAGAAGGGCTACCCTAAGGCAATTCCTACTCTTTGAGGAAGAAACAGTTAGCTATGTTAAGGGTAGGGGAGGTGTGTGGCGGTGCCCAGCGGTCTGGCTTCTTCCCAGTAGGTGGGAGCATAGAATTGGGGTGCGGATGGAGTGAGGAGACCCCTTGGGTTTTGGGGAGCTGTCTCTGAGGGGACTCTGTGAGGCTTTGGGCTCTTGAGAGCAGGCTGCAGCCTGAAGCAGATCCCCGCGTTGGGGTCCCTCCGACCTCTGTCAGCGTTAGCCCGGTGGGGTGGGCAGAAGGGAAATTAAGGAGGAAAAATGGAAAATTAAGGAGGGAAATGGAATTTTAAGGAGGAAAAATGGAAATTTAAGGAGGAAAAATAGGTCGTAGGGAAGGAAAGGGAGGTTTACGCCGGCAAGGTGTGCTCGAGTGAGGAGGTGAGAAAGGGGCAGGGGGCACCGGCAGCTCCGCGGTCCCTCAGCGGGGCCTCCCCGGGGCCGGGGGCTGCCGGCGTGGATCCCCCCCCCCCCCTCCCGCTCCCCTCCGCAGCGCCTCCATTTCCCAGCGCTTCCCTCAGCGGAGCGGGCTGCGGGGAGCAGCCTCGCCGCCTTCCCTTCCCTTCCTTCCCTTCCCTCCGCCGGGGGCTCGGCGGGGCGGAGCTCGGCAGCCCCGGTTCCCCCCCCTCCACCCTCCGCGGTCCCCTCCCGGCCCGGTGCAGGCGCGGCAGCCGGCGACACCCGGCGGCGAGGAGCGGCGCCATGCGGGCCGCCGCCTGCCTGCTCTCCCTGGCGCTCTGCGCCCTGCCCGCCGCCCCAGGTGAGCAGGGGGGACCCCGGGGGCTGGCGGGCGGGCGGGCGGGCAGGAGGTGGGGGGGTGCCGAGCCCGTAACCCTGACCCCTGCTGCCTCTCCCTGCTCAGCAGGCTCCGGGCCGGCGGCTGCGGGGCGGCGGCGGGGCGAGAACCGCTTCGCCGAGCGCCAGAGCATCAGGCCCCTGCGGCTGCTCGCCGGAGAGGGCGGCGGCGGGGCGCGGAGGCCGGCGCTGAGTACGCGGGTGCGGAGCGGCGCGGTGCGGAGCCAGGTAGGAGCCAGCCGCCGGGATGCTGATCCCAGCGCCCGGAGGGATGAGCGGTCCCCGGGTGTTATTTTAAGCCGTCCCCTTCCCCTCGGGCCGGAGGAAAGTTGCGGCCCCTTTGCGGCAGCGGAGCGGGGATGCTGCGGGCGGGCGGGCGGCAGCCACCTGGGTGCGGGTTGGGGATGGGAAGGGGAGCCCCCGAAACGCCGGAGGTGAACTCAGTGCAGGGATCTGCCTCGCGTGTTGCCACCCAGACGGGGAACGATCTGAGATTTCAGCCTCACACAGGCCAGCCGCTGCGGGTTTTATTGCATTAAATGCGGCGGTTTTAGTCCCGGTTGCCGAGCATCGTGTTTGAGGTGCTCCGTGAACGCTGAGTCTACAGGGAAAAACGCTGAGTGCATTCTGTTATGGATGAAGCCCAGAAAAACCCTGTGCGTTTGAGGTAACTGCTGATATGCAGGATGAGTTGCAGGCCTCTGTTCCCCTCCCTGGCTCCTGTCAATTTTAGAAACAAAATAGCTGAAAAAATGCTCTCAGATTCATTTATTTATTTATTTTTATAATCCTTGAAGTACAAGCACAGACAGCTTTTAATTTTTATGTAGTTAAATAACCAAGTCTCATCCTAGCATATTTATTTGCCTCCCGATGTTACTGCCTTTACGTAGAGATTTTGCAGACCCGATGGCCATATTTGCAGCACAGTAAGGTAGGATTCTCAAAGTTCCAAAATGTCTGCTTTGTTTCAAAAGGGAAAAATTATCCTCTCAGCATTTCGGGATGCCTTGAAGACCCTTGGACGTTCACAAATTCAAAGGCAGTGTGGCATGCCTGCTAAAGGGGCTACGGTTGGATCAAGTAGCAGGAGCCACGTACTGGTCCCACAGACCAAACAGTTAATTTATGGGATTTGTTTGCTTGGATGTCTCAAACTTTATTCACCAAACCTTAAGCTCATAATTTTTTTTTCAAGTCTTCCATGTTTCATTAAGTCATTAGCCAGCAGCAGCATTGCTCCCACCAGAAAACAACTAAATCTAGTGGGCTAAAAATGGTTAAATGCATCGGTTTCACACCAGTCTCCAGGCTAAATTGAAGTTAAACATGTGAAGCTCAGTGTCCAGCTACAACTTTTCCTCCTGATCAAGAAGTTTCCCTCTGCTACTTAAAACACTCCCTGCCTCTCCCACGGTGTCTAATGGCTGCGACCCCACTGAAGGATGCAGTAGCTGGCAGGGATGTGAAGGAAGAAAATTACGAAGCGGAAGCTGGCTAGAACAAGCGGAGCAGCACCGGTTTGCTGTGCTTCTTGCACAGGGCACGGTTACATCTTAATTGCAGGATGCTGCGTCCCTCGCCCGGAGATCTGAGTCAGCTTGGCAGCAATGGACAGCAGTATGGCTGCACGAGCTTCCACAGAGCTCTTGTAGAAGGTGTTTTTGCAGTAGTGCTGTTAGCTGTTGCAGTTGAGTAATTTAATATCCTGGCTCTTAACGTCTAGCATCCCATAAGGGTGTTTTCACCCTTACCTCTGCCAGAGTGTGTATCTAAGCTGCAGACTAACTGAGCTAACGTTTGCTTTTGGGTGGCTGGTACAAGTCACGCAAAGCAAAAAGATAAAGAGTGCTGGATTTTACTTGGAGGTGAAAAAACACCCTTGCCTGCACTGTGGTGTTAGCAGGCTAGGGTCAGTGACACGGTGAGGGACTCTCAGCCATTACATTTTCCATGTGCATTAGTTTGTTTTGTGTTTAATTAGAATTAGGCTTTGACTGCCTCCAGACCCCATTCTATCCATTGCTAGTAGTCTTTGGACTATCAAAGTTAGAAAAACTGGTCTCAAACCAAGAGGTAAAGCAGAAGCTAATGACCTTGTGGCTTGGTTTAAGGATGCATCTTGCAGGAGGTTAAAACATTCGGGCAGGACCTGGGATGGCTGAAGGACAAGCAGCTATGTCTAGAAAAGCAGATACCTGATGGGATGGTGCAGTCAGAGGACCAGACAGCAACTAGCTGTTGAATTAATGTAAAACAATGTAATTGTGTTATGAATTGGATAAAGATAAAAGGAGAGAGAGATTAGTTAAGCTGGAGAGAGGGAAGTTGTGTTAAATCGGATTGGATCCCTTTAATTCCTGGATGAAAGCTTTAGCTTCAGAAAGGGCAGAAGTTGTACAAGAGGGATGCAAGCCTGGGTCTGGGATTGAACAAAGGGAAATTAGGATGGTGGCTCGGGGGAAGGCAGAAGCAAGGGGATGAAAGAAGAGAACCAAGCTGATACTTTATGGATATTTCCAGAGTTTCTGTTCATGGAGAGTGAGAATTGGTAAGTCCCAGTTTTACTGTCTCGGTGTTACTGCAGCATGCCCCCCTTCACTAGCTGAATTAACCAGTCGCTTATGAAGAGAGAGATCAGCAAACACGAACCAGTGACACTGCATATTCACCACCTTCTTTGGAGTGGGAGGGAAGGGAACACCACAGCCTGCCTGGAGCTGGGGGAAGGGATAGGAGCAGGCAGGAGGGTTTCCACTTGGCAGGGAATCTGAGGGTACCTCCTGTAGCCACCTGATGTTCAAGAGGCAGTGGGAAAGCGGGAGGGGAGTACAAGGTTTGTGCAAACTTCTCCCCAGCTTTCCGAACCAGAGGGCAGAAGCAGCAGCAGATTCCTTGCCCGTGGACAAGCTTTGCTTGATGGGCTTTGGAAGATTTTTCCCTTCCCTTGGTATTTTTTGCAGGTTTGTCTGTGCAGCTAGTTAGAATTACTCCTGTTGTAAAGCTAACATCATGCAGATGGCTGTTTCTGGCACATTGTTTAGCAGGACCCTACGCTCTGCTTTACACCTATTCTGCATCAGACGGTGATCTGCCTTGCTCCTGAGAGCTAAGCAGGGCAGGGAATGGACCCCACTTATACTGAGGCAGTCTGGAAAATGGTTTGGTAGGTGAACACAGGATCCTCTACCCTACCTAAGCCCCCGTCAGGAAGGGCTGTGCTGCAGAGTGGCAAAGCTTGTTTTGAGTAATGCAGTGTTTTTGCCAGGACTGATCTTTAGTGCTTTGGTCCTTCATTTGTGCTTGGTCTTTCAGAGATCACTATCTTCTTGTTGGATTCAGGCTGCCTTTCTTGAGGGCCTTTTCTTAAAGCTTTCTTTTTTTTTTTTTTTTTTTTTTTTTCTAAATGGAGGTGGTAACATTTCCCTAAGGCCATTCCCAATGAAACTGGTCTCCATATGCCTGTCTGAAGCTGCATACTCTGTTCTTGGTGGAGTAGATACACACCAGAGGCCTGTGTGGTCCTTCAGAGGGACCTGGATAGGCTGGAGAGGAGCCTCATGAGGTTCAACAAGGGCAAGTGCAAAGTCCTGCACCTGGGGAGGAACAACCCCAGGCACCAGGACAGGCTGGGGGCTGACCAGCTTTGCAGAGAGAGACCTGAAGGTCCTGGTGGACAACAAGTTAACCATGAGCCAGCAAGTAGGGAAGGGAAGTAATGTTGGAAGGGAAGTAATGGTTGGCAGATTTCTAAAAATCTGTGTTTTTTTTTTTTTTTTCAACATTTGTTGAGGTATTTCTCTAGTGACCTTTTTTTGGGGGGTTTTCTGTTCCATTGCCATCACTATATCTATTGAGTGACTTCTATTGAATGACTTCTCAACATCCATGCTTACAGTCATAGTTGTCCAAGATTGCCGAACCTCAGAGCACAGCACGAGGGGAATGTTGTAAGATATTATATATTCCTGTCATTAACATTTGAACACACGCTGTATAGTGAGCATTGGAGTATACACCAGACTTTGGGATCTTGCTTTTAATTCTACCATGGAATAGTGTCACTACAATACATTCCTGTATTTCAATTCCTCTGTTCCCCAAAGGGGGCCTGTTAGCAGCTGCACAGCACTTAATCTAAAGAGTAATCAAGGTAAAATATATCTGAGAATGTGGGAATATTGATGTTATCATTAAAGCACTCCAGGATCATAGCAATGAACATGTAATTTTCTGTTGCATAAATAAGCCTATAAGAAAATAAACGTCCTATATAACATGGGCATACAGTGAAGGCTAAGCCTAGATTCTTGTCTTTAAGACAAGGACCGTTCATATAATAGAAAATATGAGGAACCCTTTAATTGTGTGGCTTGACCAATATTTTGGTAGTGTTAAGAAGCACAGATTCTTAATTCTTTCTTTTAGCTGGCAGTGTGTAGGCATGTTCTTCATTGAATTGTGGGTGTAAGTAAGCATTTCTCCCCATTGCTTGCATTTGTTCTTCTACCTGTAAGGGAGAGCAAAACAAAACACCAAGTCTGCTGTTACAAACGTGAGTTTGCCCTCTACATCAGCACTCTCTTTAGAGGGCCATTTTCTGTGGATCAAATGTTCCGGTTGTGAAGATGCAATTCATTTTCCAGCTGGAGATTAGAGTGCCAGACAGCTACACCGCCTTCAGCCTTCTCTCAACCCTAAGGCTGACTTAATAGTCATCTGGCTCCTGGCTGGAGACTGCAGCCTCCCTGTGACCATGCCACAACATTGGCTCTGGGAAGGTCTCTGCATGTGCCTTGCAATCGATAGTACACCAGTAAGCTCCTCCTGCGCTTAACTGGGTAACTGGTTTTGTCTGATCCTTGTCTCTTGCGGTGCTCCCTACCTGGTGTTTCCATCACGCATGGGATGTGGTACTGGCCCTTGGACTGAGGAGAAGGTTACTTCCAGCGTTTGGAGCGGAGTTTGGGATCAGCCAAGTGGAGAAGATGGCCACTCACTGCCAGCAGAGAAGGTCCCAGTTCTCCTTGCAGCCAGCACTTTGTGGCCACGATAACGGGTCTGCATGCACAGACTGAGGGACAGCTTTGTTCATCTTGGGGCTTGCACGGCAGTCACCTCTTTTTGATATATCTAGGTGTTGATAGGGAAATTTGGAAGATTTTCTATTATTTTCAGTGGGAACAAGGCCCTGACTCAGTGACCTGCTATGGGTATAGATTAACTCA